TGAGAATTCAGTTAGTAAACGGTTTTTCTAACTACCTATCAATCAACTGCGGGTCGTTGTCTTCCCCAACTCCATCCTCCCCTATTCCGGCAAGTGGCCCAACCCGCAAATTTCCTGCGGCGACTGTCGCGATTATATATTCCTGGAGCATCTTTCTATCTTTCGTTCTGCCTCTCTTTCCAACCCTCTGTATCGGCATCACTCGTCTTGTGGTCGTCTTCCGAACCCTCGAAAATCTAGAGAGGGAGGGTGTAGCAGCTGACCGCTGAAAAGGTCTCTCGAGTTGCTGGTGGTCGCGCTCTGCGCGTATTTATAGCACCGTACTGTGTACCGGCTGCTACAGAGGGTAAAAGTAGTGAACAAATTTAAAACTCGAAACTCCTGACAAGAATTCCCAGCTGAGATCAGCTGCTAGTGCTTTCTGGGTTCTGCAGCTGTTGGCAGGCTGCTGCCAACATGCCAGTGCTGGTGGGGGGGGGTGTCATTTCATTTCCGACTTCCACATCTTGTCACCTGACTTAGGGCTTCACTTCCCCTTTTCTTTCTTTTTCTTTTCTGATGCATAATGTTGTTGTTTTGCCTTCTCCTTCTCCTGCTTCAAAAATCACGACCCAGGTTGACCAACACGCAGTTCTCCGAGGCGGAGCTCAAAGCGATCGTGGAGGAGGCGGGTGCGGCCGGGACCTACGTGTGCGCCCACGCCTACACCCCCGCCGCCATACAGCGCGCCGTGAAATGCGGCGTGGCGTCTATCGAACACGGCAATTATCTGGACGAGTACACAGCGCGGCTCATGAGCCATGTGGGGCTTTTTATGGGGGGAAGGTTTCGTTTGTGTACGGCTTGTGTACGGCGGAGGTATCAGAGTATGTTTGAGTTTTAAAATGGACTCTTCAGGGAAAGGTCAACATTTTGTTGTGTGTTTGTTTGATTGTGTTTGTTTGATTGTGTTTGTTTGATTGTGTTTGTTTGATTGTGTTTGTTTGATTGTGTTTGTTTGATTGTGTTTGTTTGATTGTGTTTGTTTGATTGTTTTTGTTTGATTGTGTTTGTTTGATTGTGTTTGTTTGATTGTGTTTGTTTGATTGTGTTGGTTTGATTGTGTTTGTTTGATTGTGTTGGTTTGATTGTGTCGTGAACCTCCGTGTGTTTTTTTGCTTGCAGCGACGGGTCTTCTTGGTACCGACTCTGGTAACGTACCGCGAGATTGTACGGCATGGTACGGCGGCGGGGAT